TCTATCTATCTTTCTTTCTTTCTTTCTCTATGCCTGTGAAACTGTACGATCGGCAGTGGTAACTGGAACGCTCGTCCATGTTCGAGCTGCCGTTGTGTCCAAAGTTGGAAATGATTCATTAGTAATGGTACCGGTGGTACGGCCGGTATTGAGAATTCAATGGCTTCGTCGGCAAGTTTTCGATTAAATCAATCGTCATGGAGTTTCAGGTGTTATTTAAGTCGAACATTTAAATATCCTACAAAGTATTTTCGAAGTTCTAAAAAAAAAAAAAAATCGAAAAGGATACGATGGAATCAGTTCGGTGTTCACAAGATGAAGGATAGAAATGTGATATGAATAATAATTATGATTTTCGAATTTCAGTACTTTGATTATTATTTAGAGGATGAAGGATGGAAGCGTGACTTGAATGTTAATTATTATTTAAGAGTAAATTTTATAGATATCAAGTATTAAACTACTTTTATCGTTTGTTTTCATATTTGAAAAAATAAAGGATACAAATATAAATAATAATTATGATCTTAGAGGCTAAATTTTGTATCAAAATTTGACTATTTTGATTACTTATTACATGAAAATTACTTGGATATTTGGAAAATGGAGAATGAAAATTTGGATTGAATGATAATTATAATTTTGAAAATTAAATATAAGTTTGAATTACTTTTATTGTTTGCTTTGATATTTGCAATATAGATACAAATATATATTAAATAATAAATTTAAGAATAAAGATATTTGCAAGATAAAGGATAGAAATGTATAAAGTATAATAATTATTTTATTTGCATATATATACAGAATAATAATTACAATTTTGAAAATTAAATTCTATATCAATTATAATTCTTTCGATATCACTCTTTCGATATTTACAAAATGAAAGATAAAAATACCAATTTATTATTAAAATTTTGAAAATCTTTCTCAAAATTAAGACGATCATGTATCAATTGTGATCCCTAATATCGGTTATCGATAATGTATTGCCATTGCCGCCAAGCAATAGATCATGTAAAATTAATAGAGTTATGTCGCGTCGATGTTGATACGTCATGCGGCAAACAGTATCGATGCGTGGACAATCCAACTGCAATCCGATTCTGCACTATGCCTTCCTAAACACGCACAAGAAAACCTATTCAAATATCGATACATGATTAAATGAGTACACGAATGAGAATATTTTAATTCCAATTTATCGTTATCATGACAGTCTTAAATCCTCCTCCAAGAAAACATTTTCCACGCAAATTTTACATAATCAGACGTAGAATCCAAGTAAAGCGAAAACCGACTTAAATAAGAAAAGGAGCACGAGAAAATATGATTTCATAAATTTTAATCTTGATGAAATACAAGGAAGATAAAGAAGTAAAAAATATTCTTCTTCTTTATCTTGTTTTTCCTTCTTTCCATGCTTCGAAAAAACAATCTCTCTTTCTCTCTCCCTCCTCCCGTTCTCGCCTTCTCTCTCTCTCTCCCTCCCTGTTTCTCTGTCGTTTGTCTGTCTCTGTCTTGTTTATTTTATCTCCACCGTTTGAAAGAAAACGAATAAAATTGTTGTACAAATCGTTTTATTATTAGATACACACACACACACATATATATTGTGAAGTAAGGTCACATTATAAATGACATTGGTTGAATATAGTTATTTAACAATGGAGGGGCGTTAGAAATTGCAAGGTATAATTTCATTTCGCGCATTGTGCACGGATTTAGCCTTGAAAGTCAGGGCACAAAGTCAGCCTGTGCAAGATTATGCGAATTGCCTCGGATGCCGGGGGTAAATTTGGGAGAACGGATAGAGTTTCACTGGTGAAGGTGCAAAGTCCCCTCCCCTCCCCCCCTCCCTCCCTCCCC